TTCAGTGTCATTGCACATGTAACAGATACAAGGTGAAATAATCAAGAATTAGAAAAACAAATTAAGTGAAATCAACTATTTTGTAAAGCAGAATATTCTTGTGTGCATCTACACTGAATTGTGCGAAACTGAAATGTGCGAAACTGAACTGTGCGAAACTGAACTGTGCGACACTGAACTGTGCGACACTGAACTGTGCGACACTGAACTGTGCGACACTGAACTGTGCGTAAAAGAACTGTCTAATTGAACAAACGCTGATTTAGAAAGATTTATTATTTATAAATTAGCAAAATTTCCAAACAGGGCTCTACATGCATACGCGTGTGTCTGTGTGTTTTAAATTATATTTCGAAAACCTGTGTCCAAAAGCAACGGTGTCCAATTGTACGGTGCGCACAAGAACTGTGTCCAAATGAACGGTGCGCAAAAGAACTGTGCGCAACATTATGTGCCCAATAGCACTGTGTGCAATTGCATCGTGTCCAATTGTACTGTGCGCAATTGAGCCTCTCCCGGTATGAAATGCCACGCGACGGACTCCGTGGTCGCGTATTCGAGCATCTTGCTCTTATACTCGTCGCTCTTGAGGAACGAGCGAAACTCTCGATCCGCGCCGACAAAATTCTTTCCGTTGTTCGAGTACATGTTGCTAACCAGTCCTCTTCTCGATATGAACCTCTTGAACGCAGCGATAAAGCTTTCAGTAGTCATATCTTCTACCAGCTCGATATGCACAGCCTTTGTGGCCATGCAGACAAAGATAGCCACATACGCCTTATATCGTTTGCTGTTACGGCGTACCCTATCGCGCACGAAGAACGGGCCACAATAATCCACCCCGTGTTGCAAAAATCGAGATGGGGTGACTCTCGCCTTGGGTAACTGGCCCATTAGTTGCTGGGCAGGCTTCGGATTGGCCTTACGGCATATTACGCAATTGCGTATGAGTTTCTTCGTTCGGCTCTTCCCAAATATCGGCCAGAACTCTTGCCTGATAGTGTTCAGTGTTGTATGAGCACCAGTATGGAATAGCTTCTCGTGGTAGTGCCTTATGACCATGTAACGATAGTTAACTCCTCCCGGTACGGAATTTCGGACGGGACTCCGGAATTCGTGATTACTCCGCGAATAAACGCGATACTTAGTCGGACGCGCGGTTCCGACTAACGGTTGGAGGAGTTAGCTTCTCGGTTTCCGGTGTTTTGACGTGCTGTGTGTCGGTTCGCGTGAATGGATCCTCCGTTCCTCCTGTTGCCGAATATGCTCAGCTAGGGCCGTCGGGAGGAAAGGAGGCAAGGTAGATTTTGATTTGCTTAGTAGAGTCAATCGCTTGGAAGGGATCGAAATAAGTCTGACAGGTGTTTTTCGGTATAACAATAGGAACGTGGTTTATTCAAAGGATATAATACATAGGAATCGAGGTAATTACAATAGGTTCGCCCTATAGGTAAATACAGAGGAAAAGAAATAAGGATTAGTGAGTACAATGAGTCCGCCCTGTAGATAAATATAAAAGAAAAGCAGGATATGATTAGACGGATTAGAATACGGTACAGGAATACGCGGCCGGA